AAGTCTGGAGAAGAACTGCCAGGAACACTCCACAATTCCAACTGTGCCTGATGCTGTGCTAATTCCAAACTCAGGTTATCCTCACCCACGTTGGTCCCAGCTTTGCATTGTATTTGCATCAGACAGCATTGTATTTTTGCACAATTTGTAAAGCTGCGAGGTGCCTTGGAATTATAATTAAATAGATTTTAACTCTCTCGTTTCAGGCTAGAAATCTTCATACAGGAGAACTGGCTGCTGTAAAAATAATCAAGTTAGAGCCCGGTAAGTTTTACATTCTTTCCTGTATTTTTGAGTCGCATTTTCATTTTTTCCAAGTGTTTATTTTCACCCACTGTGAAKTTCTAGACGAAAGAAGTGTTTGGGTTTTCTGTTTGGTTTTTTTTTTTTTTTGCAGTTTCAGTGGTTAGATGACAGGAAGCCCTGCAGGATGTACCAATGCTTTTGACTGTGTCCTGCTCATTATTTCCTTGTTTGCTCTTATCTGCCTGATCAATTGCTGAGTAAAGAGATGTTGCAATTACAATGTGTTGTTCGTACAAAGAGAAGATCAGGGCCAGATGGTAAATTGGGAGTTCTGAGACAGCGAGGAGCTGGTGGGCTGTGGGAGCTGAAAGGGGGAAGGGATCAGGCAGTGATGCAAATTCTCACCCAGAGCCCTGTGCTTGTTATTGTGTCATCTGTTCTCCTACTGTCACCTCCCCCTGGAGTTTCTGCCACTTCTCCTAAAAGCAGGAGACCCAGGAGATCTCCCTTGATGCCCAGGAGATTTGCTGAGCTGAAGCTTTACCTGAGTCCTGCATCTGAAATTGTGTTSTGAGTGGAARTCACAAARCCCTGYAATGGTTTGTGTTGGAAGGATTTGAGTTGGAAGAGAACTTAAAGGYCATCCATTGCTGAAGGGYMTGAGGGGAGGGTTAATTTTTATTTCTGTGCAGAAAAAGAGATGGGTTTGGAGGCTTTGGTGGAAGAAATGTGGGGAGACCCAGGGAAAGAGTGAAAACCACTGTCTCTGTGTGACTGGGACTGCTCACCTGCCCTGGGCAGAGCAGGGCTGGGTTCATTAGGTGGATTGCATTGATTAGGCTAATTAGGCAGTGGAACTGCAGTGGGAACACAGTGGGAATTCCTCAAACTCAGTGTGAAATGCTGTGGCTGTAGTTTGGGGCAGTGGAGAGCAAAGCAGGGCTGTGATGGGGCAGATCGATGCTTTAGTGACCAAAAAAGACAGGATTAACCCACTGCTGCCATGGTGAGAAGCTTCCTCCAGCTCTGTGTCACTGCAGCTGGTCCAGATGAAGTTCATGTGGTTTTATTCTGAATTTAAAGAGCTGTTCTGAAAGCTGAAGTGGATCAGAGCCCCAGTTCTCTGTGGATAGAAGGGAGGCAGGAGCAGGATCCTGCCTTTCCTTGGTGCTGCTTAAGCACTGCAGTGATAAATGCAACCCTGGCCCAAAGCCTGAGAACCCCATTTTAATTAGCACTGATGACCATGTCTTCCATTTAATTATGTTGGTCTGATTGCCACAGGGAAGCTGTTTCTTCGAGTTTGTTTGGTTTGGTTTTTTTGAATCCATCTTCTTTCAAATGTTGCCAACCTGATCTCCATCCCTAGCATGTACACCCACAGCCTCTTGGCAGGGATCTTGTTGGGTGTTTTGTTTTTAAGGAGGGTTCACAGCATTTATTTAATCATTTACTCCTTTTTAGTTCTCATGTTTTTTTAAAGAAATAAATAATTGTCTGTTCCACGTTTTAATGTTCTGACTTATAAAGGGTTTTAATAGTTCTTTAAGACTGTAAATTGCAGGGCATTATCAATTGCTGCACCAGATTGGTGTCAGGAGCTGTTTGAATTACTGAGAAGGGCAGCCCCTCCAAACACCAGCACATAGAGCACAGCTGGAAAAAAAAATGATAATAAATTCTCTGAGTCACTGGAGAAATAGGCTTGTGAGTTATACAAAGCATTTTCTGGAGAGGAGGAGGAGGAGGTGTCTCATCGATGGGAATTAATTAGCAGATGGAAAAATAAGAGCTCCAAACTCAGCGCTTGATTAATACCCAGACAGGAGGATTGGGAGCAGGAGACAAAAGGCTCTGAAGCAGAGAGTGCTCCAGAGGAGGTGAGGAATGTGTTGAATGGAAGCTGAAGGAACTGCACACAATGAAATGGCAGGATGTGGGGAGAGTCAGGATGCTGCTGACATGGCAGGGGGCAGTCCTGCTTTGTTGCTGTTCCTCCCTCATCTGCAGGTACGGAGTGAGCAGGCAAAGAGACTCCAACTTTTATTTCATCAGCTTTTACCTTTGTTTCTTCTCCAGACAAAGGAAACAAACTCAGCAGTGAAGGTTGCTGTCACTGATTTATTTGGATTTGGGGCAGCACACTAGGTCTGCTCCCACAGTCACTCGAGCTGTATTGCTGGAGTCAAAATAGTGTTTTTCCCTTTTTTTTTTTGGCATAGACTTTGGAGAGCATTAGGCAAAAGTATTATGGCACGCTAATGACATTTCCCAGCATTCCCTGAGTACAAATGCTTCAAATAATTTGGGAGCCAATTCTATTTCAGAAACTAATCCAACTGTACTCAGCAGCGTCRCAGCCAAAACTGTCTGAAACACTAAAGCCTCTTCCTTCTATGGCTTTAGCAGATGAATCGAGGGGAGACTCAACACAAAGAGGGAACTATTTGCCAGTGGAGTTTTCAGCCATGGAACTTTCTCCTCAGGAGAAAATCATAAAAAATATTTTTTAATATGCTAATGTCTGTTTTAATACTGCTGGTGTGATCAGTAATGCCCTCGGAGTGCTGGTGTGATCTGTCGTGCTCTGAACCTTCTGCAGAGAATCTCACTGCTGGGTTGGATTTTTTTTTTTTTTGTTCCAATAATTGCATTTTCCATGTGAAATCCCAGAAATAGCCAGTGACCTGTTTCAAGTTGGATCATAAAGTGGCCGTGGGGCTGCAGAGTCATCCAGAGGTTGTGCTGTTGTGCTTGATGAGTTCTGAGCCAGCTCTGGTTGCTGAGGTGGGTGTTGATCCCATGGTTCAGGTCAGGAAGGTGATTTTCCACCCAGGAGCTGATTTAGGCCAYGGGGCTGATTTAGGATCAGTTTGGGGTCTGGTCCCTCTGCACCACGAGAACAGCTCAGCAGAGCTTGAGGACCGAGGCAAAGCAGCCTCATTTTCCACATAATAAATTCCCCAAAGATGACATGAGCTGTGGAGAAGAACCAGCCTGAGGCTGATTTAAACTAACCCTGAGGCTGATTTAAACTAACCCTGAGGATGATTTAAACTAACCCTGAGGATGATTTAAACTAACCCTGCTGGGCTTCAACCACTGTTGGCAGCACCCGGGGTTGGAGAAATAGAAGAAATATGAAAATAACTCCTCATTACTGCACACACCTTGTGGTGTGGTCGGGTTTGGGGTCGTGTCTGGGGTCAAATGCCTGAGGTTCCAAACGTTCCAGAGCCATCAAAGCCTGGCCATGGTCTGTGTGTGCCATTCCATGGCCCACGTGGTGCTGCCACAACCTCAGAGCTGCTCAGCCTTTCTTTGGAGCAGACAGAGCAAAGCAGAGGCAGTGTGGATTTAAATCCAGAATGCCCAGCATTTTARTTAATTTAACTTTTCAAATGGGGTCAGATTTTACTTTGCATCCTTATGATGTGAAGTATCACTTTATCCACTGCTCTCAAGAAATGTGTGGATCAGAGCAGGATCCAGGTAGTTCAAGTTTTCTCTTCAAACACAGAGTTTCTTGGATTGGGGAGGGTCAACAGAAGAGTTGTGGTGGGGGAAGGAAGTAGGGAAGAAGCTGGAAGGTCACACATTTTAGTTGGAAAGTGTGGCACTTGGGGTGAATCAGGGGAAGATGTCGTTTGGTGAAATACATCAAGAAAAAGAGCAATAGTGAAGAGCAGAGGGGAGATGAGGGACTGAAATGTGCAGCAGTGAGTAGGAAAGGAAAGGAGAGAGAAGAAGAAAGTGCTGAGAGAGAGGAATTGCAGAATTCCAGAATCCCAGAATGGTTTGGGTTGGAAGGGACATTAAACCCCATCCCATTCCACCCCTGCCATGGGCATGGACACTTCCCACTGTCCCAGGGTGCTCCAACCCAGCCTTGGACAGATCCAGGGGCATCCACAGCTTCTCTGAGCAATATCAGTTACTGTTGRCTGCCCATAAATAACACCCAAATAGGGCAGAAGAGAAAATCCACAGGGAAAYAGTTCTGATTTTAGACCAACCCAAACTCTCCTGTGCTCCGTACTATGAGCTCGTGGCAGCACAACCCAGTCAGGAATATTTTCTATCAGCAGAGAGATAATGAGGACCATCAGTGGTTAGCAGTTGGCAGCTCCGTGCCCAGCAGGAAAATCTGCTGGTGGAAACATCACTGTTTCCAAAGAGCTGTTTCCTGCTGGGAATCAAATTTCTGAGTTTCAAGTTTGGGCAATTGAAATTCTTTCTGTCAGACTGCAGGTTTCCATGAGTCCCGTGGAAAGCAGCTTGGATAAAAGAGCATATAAATAACCTAAATATAAGATATGGCTAAAACAGGATGAAAAATCCTGCATTTTGGGGAAGCCATCCCTTTCATCAGCACAGCCTGGACCTTTCTGAGGTTCAGGAGAGTGGTTTGGAGTGAAGGATTGGGATTTGTGGAGCACAGAATGTTGGGAAGTCAGCACTGAGTGTTGCTTGGCTGTGGGGTTTGTGGACAGGGGCAAATTGTTGTCATTCCCTTATGGATTCCTCTCCTTTTTTGGGAACTCGGGTTGTTGTGAAATAAGAAATGTTTGAGGAATGGTCCCAGCAGAGGCTGCAGTGGTGAGACCCTGCTCTTGGTCCTTCAGTGTCCCTCCAATCCTGTTGGTAAATGTTATCTCACTTTTAAATGACAAATTTTAATTGTAGTGTTAAAAATCCCAATTCTTCATGATACTATTATTAAATGTATAAATATAAATAAATATCCTAAAAATAATAAAAATTAATATACAAAATATATACTAAATGTACTAAATATATATTAAATATACTAGAAGTATATACTAAATATAATACATACTATAACTATATACTATAAATATATACTATAAATATATACTATAAATATATACTATATATACTAAATATACTAAATATATACTAAATATATACTAAATATACTAAAAATACATTCTAAATATAATATATACTAAATATATACTATGAATATATTCTAAATATACTAAATATATACTCAA